GGACAATAGGTCCTCCCCTTATTGGTATTTAGGGCCCCCACCCACCGCTCAGGGGTGGGGGCCGGGGGAGAGGACAATAGGCCCTCCCCTTATTGGTATTTAGGGCCCCCACCCACCGCTCAGGGGTGTGGGCTGGGGGAGAGGACAATAGGTCTTCCCCTTATTGGTATTTAGGGCCCCCACCCACCGCTCAGGGGTGGGGGCCGGGGGAGAGGACAATAGGTCCTCCCTTTATTGGTATTTAGGGCCCCCACCCACCGCTCAGGGGTGTGGGCTGGGGGAGAGGACAATTTAGGACCCCCACCTAACGCTCAGGGGTGGCTGCTGGGGAAGAGGACAATAGGTCCTCCCTTTATTCTAATTTAGGGCCCCCATCCACCGCTCAGGGGTGGGAGCCGGTGGGGAGGACAATAGGTCCCCCCCTTATTCTAATTTAGGGCCCCCAAGCTCAGGGGTGGAGGCCGGGGGGGGGACAATAGGTCCCCCCCTTATTTTACTTTAGGGTCCCCACCCACCACTCGGGGTGGGGGCCGGGGGAGAACAATAGTTCCCCCCCTTATTCTGATTTAGGGACCCCACCTGCCGCTCAGGGGTGGGGACCAGGAGGGAGGACAATAGGTTCCCCCACCCATATTTTAATTTAGGGCCCCCACCCACCGCTCAGGGGTGGGGGCCGGGGGGAGGAGAATAGGTTCTCCCCCCTTATTCTGATTTAGGGCCCCCACCCGCCGCACAGGGGTGGGGGCCGGGGGGCAATAGGTCCCCCCTTTAGGTTAGAAGCCCTTACTCCTGCGGCACAGGTGGGGGCTCGGGAGGGGGGACACATGCCACAGGCTGCTCACTGTTTAATAGACATGCCCCTACTCGTGGTATAGTGAATAGGGGCATAATTTACTAATACTAAGTAATCTTTACTTAGTATTAGTAATTTGGCTGAAAGACCAATTTAGGTCTTTCAGCCTTTTGGTAGATAGCTCCCTAATACCGTGGGAATTAGGGAGTTATCTACTTATTCATTCCTGTTATTCCATTGACTGGCTAAATAACTTACATTTTATATGAATGTGTGTTACTTAATATGAATGCTTACAGCTGAATCCTGGCTATATTTGTATACTTTTTATTTAAACTTGTATACAGTGTAACATTCTTCATTCTTCCACTGGGTAGGTATATTAGTACTTCGGCAATACTGTGCTTCGAAACTTCGGCACTTCGGAAATTCGACAATTCAGCTTTCGGACATTCGGAATTATCCGAATGTCCGAATTTCTCGAAATTCGTCCGAATTGTCATTCGGAACGAAACGAATTGCACATGTCTACATGCTAGAGGGAGTGGAGTACAGTGACACAAAGGATATAAGCAGGGGCAATGAAACATGTTGCTAGAAAAGTAATCACCGAGAAGTTAGTAGATTATTTTTGACAGTTGCAGGAGAGGAGTCATGGGGGGGGGGGATGAAAACCCGCTAACAGTTTAAATGATATGCTCTCTTGAAGAAGTGTGTTTTCAAAGATTTTTTGAAGGAGTGGAGACTGGGTGAAAGTCTTAGGGAGAAGGGAAGGGAGTTCCACAGAAAAGGTGCAGCCCTGGCGAAGTCTTGGAGGTGAGCATCAGATGTGGGAGTAGGGACAGAGCATAGGCTTAGGTCTTCGGCAGAGCACAGGGGCCTCGACAGGACATATTGTGTATTAGGGAGGATAGGTAGGTTGGAGCAGCATATGCCACAAACATATCACAAACATACATTGGAACTGGCACCCTTTCAGTCCGTTCTCCAGCTTCCGGTTTGCGGCATCTAACAAAGATGTCATCAGGCTAAGACGTCAATTCGTCCCTTCTTGTGATGTCCCGGCTATGAGACTCACCAGGCAGACTGCCTCCCCACATCTATAGATGATGTCATTGTTGAAGTCATGTGATTAAGTTCTGATCTGAGGGCAGATTGGAACTTAATCACGATTCCACAGATTCTTGCCCACAGACTATAGACGTGGTCCCAAGAGCCCCTGAAATAGGCTTGTGATGTTAGTAATCAAAATACAAACTATTCATAGTGTCAGAACTTTCCAAGAGTCCGTTCCCCAGGGGTTACTTCCGCGTTTGGAAATAAGCTCCTCCCACATAAATGACGCAACATTCACCTGCCTTATAGGGGAGCCACGCCAAATTCAAACTGCTGAGTCTTTCTGTCTCTTCCCGAGAATGCCACATTTAGCTCATTATTCCTCCAGTGTACCGGACCAGATAACCGTTGCAGCTGTCTTCTCCTTTCCTCGAATCTCGGCTTGTACCACGACCTTTCTGCCATCTCCTTCCCAGATCCGGACTGTTAATTGGACTAATGCTTCCCAATTTAACTAAGCAGGATCTTCTTGCACAATTCAGCAGTACTCCTATTACTCTGATCCAGCCAAGAACCGCTTCCACTGAGACACGTTACTGGGAAACCATAAGTATTAATCTAACTCTACTTAACTTTGCTACATTGCTACAAACTAATATTCTACACCATAATTATCCTGTAAATACTTTGTTTCGTTTGCTGCTACAATTCTTGCGAATCTCCAATCAAGTCATTTTTCTTTAAATGCTGCAAGCTATTCTGATCTCACAAATATTTACAACTGTCTACTAACTTCTTCATTACAAGAGACTCCCGGACAGAAAAATGGTAAACCCTCCCATTCTCCTTGCTGTCACCTTTACTAAATGATCTTGATGATTCTTAGGCTGTGGTTATATATGTAAAAATACCTTTTGCACTGCATCTCTGTGCAGAACAATCTTGATATCCTTGGCTGCTGTATTGGAAATACTAGATACAGTATAGTGTTTGCTTGTCTGAATGTTTGAGCCGAGAATTATAAATCAGCATCGAGAAGAATGATACTAGTTAAGCGGTGATGGCGGTGCGATTGTTAATCATGGGCATGCAGCAAATTTAAGTTTTTTTAATTCTCTCGATACTCAGGTATATTGGGCATCCCATGTGCTCCCTTTGTTTCTTCTGATTGGACAGATTCAATAGTGGTGTGGCATGATGTAAAGTATGGAGGAGATTTGGAATCTGTCAATTGCATGGAACCTTAGTTTGTATTCATCCTTATGTGTACCTTATTATAGGGACACTGTAGGCACCTTAACTACATCATCTCATTAAAGTGGTTGTAGTGTCTGGAATCCTTTCATTCACCATTAAACCATGTTAAATGTATTAATGCTAAACAAGAGTCCCCAGCAGCTCATCCCCATTTTGCTACTTTAGCAAATGAGGAAGCATTAGCCTGAGCAGCAGTGGGCAGGTGTGAATTGGCTAAGAATGTCAGCTTACTGCATTCAGCCTATCACAGTGCCCATTGCAGGTAGGAATCACTACGACTGCAAGGAAGTGTATAATATCTGCTCTAGCCATACTTTCAGTGGGGGCGGGGCCAGGGGCGGACTGAGAGCCTTTGGGGCCCCCGGGCAAAATTAGATCCCAGGCCATTTGAAGGCCAAATATATGTGCATTAAATAAATGTTAAATATAACTCATAATACGGCATTCCTTTGGATGTGTATATTGTGAAGACCTGTGTATCAATGCATGTTTGTATTTGAGTCTGTGTGAATGCACTTGTGCATGTCTGGATGACTACATGTGCTTTTTTGTATATAGTGTCTGTGTGAATGCATATGTGACAGGTGACAGAGTGTATGAGGGAGAAGGTGACAGGTGGAAGAGTGTGGGAGGTTGTGACAGGTGGCAGAGTGAGGGGGTACCTGGTGGCAGAGTGAGGGAAGGAGGGGTTGAGTGGTGGCAGAGTGAGGGGGAGACACAGTGAGTGGGGGTGACTGGTGACAGAGTGGGTGACTAGTGACAGAGGGAGGGAGAGGGGGTGACTAGTGACAGAGTTAGGGAATGGGTGACTAGTGGCAGAGTGGGGGAGGGAGGGAAGAGATGACTAGTGGCAAAGTGAGGGAGGGAAGAGGTGACTGGTGACAGAGTGAGGGGATGACTGGTGACAGAGGGAGGGAATGACTAGTGACAGAGGGAGGGAATGACTAGTGACAGAGGGAGGGAGTGACTAGTGACAGAGTGAGTGAGGGAGTGGGTGACTAGTGACAGAGTGAGGAAGGGGTGACACAATGACAGAGTGAGGGAGGGGGTGACTAGTGACAGAGTAAAGGAGGTGGTGACTGTCACTAGTCACACCGTCCCTCACTCTGTCACTAGAGTGAGGTGACAGGTGACAGAGTGAGGGAAGGGGTGACTAGTGGCAGAGTGAGGGGATGACTGGTGACAGAGTGAGGGGATGACTGGTGACAGAGTGAGGGAGGTGGTGACTAGTGGCAGAGTGAGGGAGGTGGTGACTGTCACTAGTCACCACCTCCCTCACTTTGTCCCTAGTCACTCGTCACACCCTCCCTCACTCTGTCACTAGAGTGAGGGGGTGACTAGTGACAGAGTGAGGGGGTAACAGGTGACAGAGTGAGGGAAGGGGTGACTAGTGACAGAGTGAGGAAGGGGGTGACACAGTGACACAGTGAGGGAGGGTGGGACTAGTGACAGTAAGGAAGAGGATGACTAGTGAGAGAGGGGGTGACTAGTGACAGAGTGAGGGAGAGAGTGGGTGACTAGTGACAGAGTGAGGAAGGGGGTGACACAATGGCAGAGTGAGGGAGGGGGTGACTAGTGACAGAGTGAAGGAGGTGGTGACTGTCACTAGTCACCTCATCCCTCCCTCTGTCACTAGTCACCCCCCCTCTTTCTCTGTCACTAGTCACACCGTCCCTCACTCTTTCACTAGAGTGAGGGGGTGACAGGTGACAGAGGGAGGGAAGGGGTGACTAGTGGCAGAGTGAGGGGATGACTGGTGACAGAGTGAGGGGATGACTGGTGACAGAGTGAGGGAGGTGGTGACTGTCACTAGTCACCACCTCCCTCACTTTGTCCCTAGTCACTCCTCCCTCTGTCACTAGTCACACCCTCCCTCACTCTGTCACTAGAGTGAGGGGGTGACTAGTGACAGAGTGAGGGAAGGAAGAGGTGACTAGTGACAGAGTGAGGAAGGGGGTGACACAGTGACAGAGTGAGGGAGGGAGTGACAGTGACAGAGTGAAGGAGGTGGTGACTGTCACTAGTCACCGCATCCCTCCCTCTGTCACTAATCACCACCTCCCTCACTCTGTCACTAGTCACCCCTTCCCTCCCTCACTCTGTCACTAGTCACCCCCTCCCTCTCTCTGCCACTAGTCACACCCTCCCTCACTCTGTCACTAGAGTGAGGGGGTGACTAGTGACAGAGTGAGGGGGTGACTAGTGACAGAGTGAGGCGGTGACAGAGTGAGGGAAGGGGTAACTAGTGGCAGAGTGAGGGAAGGAAGGGGTGACTAGGGACAGAGTGAGGGGATGACTGGTGACAGAGAGGGAGGTGGTGACTGTCACTAGTCACCACCTCCCTCACTCTGTCCCTAGTCACCCCTCCCTCTGTCACTAGTCACCCCCTTTTTCACTCTGTCACTAGTCACCCCCTCCCTCACTCTGTCACTAGAGTGAGGGGGTGACTAGTGACAGAGTGAGGGAAGGGGTGACTAGTGGCAGAGTGAGGAAAGGAAGGGGTGACTAGTGACAGAGTGAGGGAGGTGGTGACTGTCACTAGTCTCCACCTCCCTCACTCTGTCACTAGTCACCACCTCCCTCACTCTGTCACTAGTCCCTCCCTCTTTCTGTCACTAGTCACCCCCTCCGTCCCTTACTCTGTCACTAGTCACCCCCTAACTCACTATGTCACCAGTCATCCGCTCACTCTGTCACCAGTCATCCCTTCCTTCCCTCACTCTGCCACTAGTCACCCCTTCCCTCACTCTGTCACTAGTCATTCCCTCACTCTAGTGACAGAGTGAGGGAGGGTGTGACTAGTGACAGAGTGAGGGAGAGGTGACTAGTGACAGAGTGAGGGAGGGAATGGGTGACTAGTGACAGAGTGAGGGAGGGGTGACTAGTGACGGGGGTGACTAGTGAGGGAGGGTGTGACTAGTGACAGAATGAGGGAGAGGGTGACTAGTGACAGAATGAGGGAGAGGGTGACTAGTGACAGCAGGAGGGAGATGGTGACTAGTGACAGAGTGAGGGAGGTGGTGACTGTCACATCACCCCATCCCTCCCTCTGTCACTAGTCACTCCCTCCCTAACTCTGTCACTAGTCATCCCTTCACTCTGTCACTAGTCACCTCCTCCCTCTGTCACTAGTCACCTCCTCCCTCTGTCACTGTGTCACCCCATTCCTCCCTCTGTCACTAGCCTCCCTTACTCTGTAACTAGTCACCCCGTCCCTCACTCTGTCACTAGTCACCCCCTCCCTCACTCTAGCAACAGAGTGAGGAGGGGTGACTAGTGACACGGGGGGGTGACTAGTGACAGTGGGGGGGTGACTAGTGACAGTGGGGGGAGGTGACTAGTGACAGTGGGGGGGGTGACTAGTGACAGTGGGGGGTGATTAGTGACAGTGGGGGGGTGACTAGTGACAGTGGGGGGTGATTAGTGACAGTGGGGGTGACTAGTGACAGTGAGGGGAGGTGACTAGTGACAGTGGGAGGGTGATTAGTGACAGTGGGGGGTGATTAGTGACAGTGGGGGGGTGACTAGTGACAG